GGATTGTAATTTGTAAGCAAGCAGGAGCTGCTTGAGGGTGGTAATATCCGGCCCTCTCGACCCACTGCGACTACTGCTCTTCCGCAGACACGGCTTCAGCTTTTTTGATCGTGAAGAAGAAGAAAAAGAAGAACAATCCAGCTCAGCACCACACCCGCCTCCGCCGCTGACTCGTCGGTGCCGCTGACTCGTCGGTGCCGCCGGTGAACGCCACCGCTGAACGAATCGATGTCAATCGAGAAGGACGAATCGCCACGGCTCTTCACCGGCTCGCTCGACTCGGCATCCTTCTTGTAGTAGCTCAACGCCGTTGCCGGGCGCCAGATCTGAGGCGAATCGGCGCGATGATCTCCTTGCGGCCCCCGACCAAGCAGTTGGGGAAAATCGGGTCTCGGAACTCACCATACCGGCAATCGACCTTCAATCTCTCGGATCTGTGCTTGACGAGCCGATCGAAACCGATCATCTCCGTGGAACAATCCGTAGATCCCCTTCGCCGCGGCCGGTCGATGAAAGAAGAAGAGTGCCGCCGCCGTCGCCGCGAGATTTGGCGAGTGCTGCTTGAGTAAGCGGTCGATGGTGAGGTAAGGGACGACGTAGAAGACGCAGCCGAGCTTGAGGAGGGAGTCCGGGTGGACCGCGATCCAGGGGTTCTTGAAAACGTCGGGTCGGGTCACGCAGTGGCGCGGGTACCGCTTCATGACCTCGGAGGCCCGGGTCGGGCGGGTGAGCCGCTCCACGATGCCCTTGGGGTGGACCAGCTTGATGAATGCTGCCGCCTTCCGCCACTCGTCCTTTTCGGCCGACATTAACGGAGGAAGCGCCCTTTATTTGTAATTATAATATTTTTTTTGTTTTATTTATTTTATTTTAATGTGAAAATGAGTTGGAAATGGTAGAAAATTAAAATTTATTTTATTTATTATTTTTTAATTGCCACGTCACTGAGTTAACAGTCAACTTTGAGGGTTGACTGCCACGTCAGACAAATTTAACGGAGTTGGACGGAGAGTGACCAAATATGAACCATTTAACTAATTTGAGTGACCAAGATTGGATTTAAATATTTACAGTGACCAAACATGAACGTTTTTTGTAATCTCAGTGACCAACCATGCAATTAACCCAGATAATGGATATGGCTTGGGGGCTTGGGATATATAGATACTGATCTTTTGGGAATCTATAAAGTAATGTGAACATCTCATACTTCAAGTAATCACTTTAACAAAACACTATTTTCTATTTTTCTATAAACCTGTAGCAGCTGTGGTTTACTAATTACTATTATTATTTTTTTTACTAATTACTATTCTTTTCCCGTGTATGATGTTTATAATTAATTATTAATTTATTTATTTTGTTAATTGTGAAACAGACTAAGACTGTTACATAATTGACTGAAAGTTAATTTTGAAATGAAGGCTTTAGTCCAGATACAACACCCTAGATTTATGTAAACTGTACATACAATTAAGTTAAATTGTAATAATTTATCTATGTAAACTGTACATATAAAAATTAAGTTAAATTCATAATAGTTTAGACCCCCAAACACACATGCTTCTCCTCCTCCCTAGCCGTGATTAATAAGCATCCAATGCGATTAGATCTCTGTACAATCAGGCTCGAACTATACTCATTAATAAGCTAACGAGCTCTAATCAAGTTCGACTCATCGATCGACTTGTGAGACTGGCTCGAACTTGAATATCATATTATTTAGTTTGTAAATTATAATTATTTATATATTTTTATTTAATAGTAATTAATTACTATATAAAAATTTATGATACATAAATTATCTTTAAATTATAAACAAAACATATTTGATGACGTACTCAAAGTCTTAAACACCATAACTAGTTGATACATGATCTAACAAATCAATAAATTATGATCAAGTAAACTCAATAAGCTATAAATTGATTTACACATAAGCCGCTAGCCATATTGTCGAGGCAAATCATAGCTCAAAATGAGCTGGTTAACTAGTTTAACTCAACAAATCACCCAGTCAAGATATATAATGAGCCCTCCGAGCCAAACAAAACTTATCGCAATCTTACCTCATTAGTAAACAAATCAAATACCGATTACCGAATGAAATTTTCCCAATTGAACACCAAACCGCTCATGAACAAGTTGATTCATCTGCATAGCATCGACGGACAAAACCAAGCTGATAGAGAGGCAACTTGTCCATGTACCATGCTCGAATCAAATCTGAGACAGTATAATCAGGCACCATGATTTTTGTCTACAAGGTCATACATCCTTTTCATGACATTTGATCAGATATTCCATAAGCAGCTAAGTTTTTTTATATGCTGAATATGCAGTTAAATTCAAACGGCAACCTTCTCTGTGAACATAAACCCACATTGAACAATAGAGAATAAGAGTTAATCTAGGCCTTTTTACTATTGGTTGCAAATCAACTAATAAATTATATTTCCCCTAAAAAAGCTATATATTATTTCTTATGAATACTTTTGCCCGTTCTTGTAGTCACAAAAGATGAGATTCATTAGCTTGAATTTATAATTAAAGGATTCCTTCTTCTAATTTGTTCATTGGAATGTTAAAATGATTCGAGAAACAAATGATTGGGCAGGGAATAAAATTAGTTTATCCTTTCTAATTGTTTTTTGCGTGGGGAAATATAATTTAATGGTCATTTGTATTTAATTAATTTATATATGTTTCATTTGTTGTCATGCCCAACCACAACTAAGGATTAAAAAAAGTTATTATAGTGGCTACTAACAAAATAGAACTCTGTATAGTGACCAATCAGGTAAGCTATCAAGGAAGAACAAAGTCAATCACCAATGCCTTAACCTCGGCCCAACGAAGCATTTCATTCATGTCGTCAAACTAATTCCCCATAACATCTTCGTAAAAAACTAAAAAAGGAAAAAAAAATTCTCGCAACACAACTCTCATATAAGTATGTTAGATTGCTCTTATCTTTCGGCCAATTAAGATGATATAGCTTACTTGGCTCAAAGATAAGACCAGCCCAACAACTCATTCAGCAGCGTCGAGGGGCATGGCTCATTTGGAATGGAACAAATTGCAGTATGGGCACCAACAGAGAAGTACATATCATGCGCGTCCGCTTTAGTCTGCAACAGTATTTCGTTGTCGATACATATACTGATATACATATATGGTCATTGATTTTATATTGATATTTTACATAAAAATGGCATTCTCCATCCTAGCTAGATTGAAAATATGCTATGTCAGCACTATTGTGAGTTGGAGGTGGGGAAAAAAAGAAATCAGGAAAACTCCGAAGGAAACGACGAAGGACAGGAAGAGAATTTGGGTTTGATAAGATTCGCAAGCATGAAGGTTTTGCATGTGATGGCATGAACATGAACTCGTCCCAACGCCAACGGTCTGTTCCACCATACCCGCTTCCTTGATTGATTAATTGGCTGCTAAAATGCTTAATGCTTACTTACTGCTCCTAATTGCCTCTGCTTTTACCTATTATTTTACTAATTATTATGTTGTCCTGTAGTACTCTTCTTTTTGTATAAATACTATTATAATTTCATTTGCTGGATTTAACTACTAGTATTATCACTTGGTGGTTGTATTAATATAATTAGCTTCCGATCCTTTCCTTCTGGTAGTTAAGTACAGCTCGACTTTATTGCTTATGGCCACAACTCTTATTTCTTTATTTTCCACCAACCTTCACGCTCTGCCGCTCTGGCTTTTTACGTTTCTCTAATTAAAATTAATTCAACCAGAATCTCTATAGGTTATGCACCATCCAGGCCTTGATAGGGAATAATCAACCATACAATATAACCTCATCGAGCCCAACAAACCACTAAAGAGGAAAAAGAAGAGTGATCAAATGTAAAAGTAGTCTTCTTATTCTATTTTTTTTTCCCTTCAGTGGAACCGATGATACGATCGATCGATAAATGAATGCTCTCTTGATATCTGAAGTTTACGATGGAGTACAAATGCTGAGAAGTAATTACAAGATTTCGGATCTCGGCATGGCAATGTGCAAAATGGAGGGCGAGGAGTTGAATGCACCTCTCATTTGTGTAGGCACATATATCCTCGGAAGAAAGACAAAACAATGTCTTTGTAGTAGAATATTCTTGAATCTTTTATAAGAATGAGATCTCCTCGAGAAATTTAGGGAGGGAGAAGTAAAACATAAAGAGAAAAATAGCGGGTTCGATTGAATTCTCACCCGGGGGAGGGATTAATAATGAATGGAAAATTGAAAGAAAGAAGCAAGTAAAGGGGTATTCTGACAGCGACACCCATTGTGTACGAGGTCTACACAGAACAATGGATGTTCTAAGCCTTGAATGTCAAGGTTTGGAAGACCTCGAGGTAGTGGCATTATTGAAGCTTCTAGTTTTTTAAAAAAACATACTCTCTAAATAATGTTCTTGATTAGGGTGAAACTTATTTTGTAACGATAATGAGAAGGTCTATCGACAGGTAGAGTCTGACATAGGAACGAAATAAAAAGAAATCGTAAGATTAGCATTTTCCGAATGAAACGGCTAACCTCAAGATGTCTCTTTGAAAATTTCACTTAACATGAAGTTAGGTGTGATGGACGCGCTTAACAAGATCAATAATCTCCATTACAGTAAAACAAATCCATATACATTTTCACACCCAATAAAGATAAATAATTTTATTTTCCATTATAGTAAAAAATTTCCATATACATTTCTACATAACCTTACTTAGTATTTTACTCGGGTGTTGGCTCATAAAATTTTCGCCCCTCAACCATCCGGGTCGGCTCGCTTTGTTTGACCTGAAATTTCGCGTGGGATGCTTGTCACCTACGAGTCAAAAGTATGTTCAACCCCCTCCCTCCACGTCACTACTGTATCTCGAGCTCCCCAATTTTTCCTTTATATACATATCTCGTCAATATTCAATTTCCAATTAAATTAATAAATCCCCCAATTCGATTCAAATTCGGCTGTTTCCATACCCTCTTCTAATAAACCTAAAAAATAAAAAAGGAAATAGAAAAATCAAACCCCGTGCCGTTCCCCTTTTAAGCTTCTTCTTCTTCTTCCTTCTCTTTCATAAGTCTCCTCGTCTCGCCCCTTTCCCAGCAGCAGAGCTTCCTTGCTTTCTCTCTCTCTCCCTTCTGTACATAGAAAGCGCCATAGGAGGATGGAAAGAAAGAAAGCAGAAAAAGTGAATCAATTGAAGATGGGATTCCCAAAGGAAGAGAAATCGAAGAGAGTCCTGAGAGGAGTGAAGACGGTGTTCTTCATAATAGTAATGATCTTCTCCTTCCTCATCTTCTCAGCTCCGGTGCTCCTCGTGATCGCCGATACTCTCCTCCCGGTCTCCCTACTCTCCGCTTCCCTCTCCCCGTCTTCCTTCTCCCTCAGCACTCTCTCCGCCGACCTAAGCAACTACGATTTCCGGTACTCCCTCGTCGACATCCCGCTCATTTCCATCCTGAGATCCGCCGTTATCTTCTGTAAGTGAAATCACTACTGCAAACTGAAATTAGACCTCCTCTCTCCCTCTGTTTCTGCCGGCTCGGTTCGATTCTGATTCCGATTTGTGTTTTTGCCAACTATTTCAGGCGTCTACAGCTTCTGCGATGGCCCGAGGCTCTCGCGAGGCCCGTACTTAGGGATCACGGCGATTTGCTCCGTCTCCTCGCTGATTTACGTCTCCGTGAAGGCGCCGTACGTTTTCAGCATCTACCGGATCGACCGGGGCGGGTACGTACGCGGGATGGAGGTTGCTCTGTTTCTGTGCTCGCTGTTTCTGGCAATTGGCCACGTCGTTGTGGCATATCGAACGAGTTGCAGAGAGCGGAGGAAGCTTCTGGTCTACAAAATCGACATTGAAGCTGTAAGTTTCCCTATTCTTCCATCAATTTTTTTCTTCCTCTTTTGAGTTTCTCTCCCAAAAGGAAACCGAGTTCCAAGCTACCTCGAAAATTTAGCTTACGTCTCATTGAGTGAGTAATTAGATTGTTTACTAAATTAATGACTAATGAGTCCTCTCTTCTCCAAATCACCTAAACCTGTATGAGTTACGGCTATGGCGGATGGATTCCCTTTCCCTTTCCACTTTCCCGTTCTAGATTGTCAGTTTTAGGGTTATTAATTACTGAATTACGGAGTCCACTAAACCGGCTGCGCGCCTGAAAATGTTATTATTTAGGAGCAGTAAATTCCTTTTCGTAAGGAAAGTAAAAGCTTGAGCAGTGAATTCCGGGGAATACTCTGACAACCGCCCAATGAGAATAACGGGGTGAAATTGCCTAGAAATCTCACCTTCTTTTGGTTGTCTTGTTTAACCAAAGGGTGAAAGTATTGGCGTGTTCTAGAACAGTGGTTAGAAAATCAACTGGTAGAATAACCAAACCGAGGAAGTAGTGTTGTAGTCATTCAAGAACCCGTGATTTCGATTCCAGAAAATTTTCAGGGGGTCAAAAGTAAAAACATTTTATTAGTGGGAATAAAATCCGGGAACGGGAAAATAAAGTGGAAAAAAGAAAATCAAACCAGTAGGTGTGGAACGTTGAACTTTTGTTCGTTTATGTGGGGAGGTCAAGAACTGACCGTTTGAATTAGTCAGTTGTTTTATTATTCAGCTTTATTATTTCCCCCTTTTCCTTCCTCGACATGGGAATCTGTCAGGAGACCTTTCTGAATAATTTTCAAAATAGTTATTTTAAGAAGCTCACTTTCTCAGTTCTCTACGCCTCAAGGTCAGGGAAAATTGACCTGAATCGTAATTTTTTTTTCAATGAAAAGTCGTGGAAATTGGATCAGTGAAGTGCAATAAAAATGTCACTTTGTCAGGAGATTCGAGAGACAAATATTATTCGAGGGCTTAGCCAACATGTGCTGGTAGTGGGTATGGTTCTATTAGTTTATTTTTTTGTAACGTGACACCATTGAAATGGTGAGCCGCCCTCACAAGTGGTGGCTTAGGCTAGGACGTTAGAAATTTGACGTTGGGGGAATAGAAATTGGAAATGGAAAATCAATAGGAAGGGTCCAATATCTGCATTTCGGCCCATATTGCTGTGTAGTCGCCATACAACAAACCGAACCCATTTGTCCAACTTGCACATCTATCTTCGCCCAATTTCTGCTCTCTCTCTAGATTCATTCATCCTTCCCCCGTCCACCGCCAGCTAAGCCATTGTTTACGTTATGCGCACAATGACAAATGGGGTCGCCCGCCAGAAGGGCCGACCATTCTTTTGGAGAAATCATGGTGTTACCTGGTACGACTTGGGTTTTGTCGAACACCGAATTAGAACTAGGAGGAACTATTCCAAATGGGCAGCAGCAGCTGGAATATATGCTCCATTGCTCCTAAGTTCTATCCTTCGGCTGGATTCGTTTGTTTGTTTGCCGTCATTTCCCTTTGCAGATTGCTGAGCATCTTAATTAACTGAGTGTGGTTGTGTTTGCTTTTTATGCTTGTAGATCTCGGCTTGCCAGAAGGGACTCCCAAGGTACCAAAAGAAGATCCTCCAGGAAGAAAGAGTAAAGTGACAATGGCTAGCTGCCGAACCCATGAACCAAAAAAAAAAAAAAAAAAAAAGACTAACCCAGACATCTTCAGCATTTTTTTCTCCTTCTTCATGATTATCCGTTCGTGTTCTTCAGCATCCCGGTTTGAGGTAATTTCTTCATGATGGTCCTCTCCCCTTTAAATGTTATTTTGGGACTACGATTCAGTGGTTAAAATTGGATGTACGTTGTTGGGTGCTACAGGTTGATCCTAAGGATGCCTCTGATTTGGAGATGATTGAAGAAGAAGAAGATGAAACAAGACTTACAAAGCTAACAGAGATGGTAGATATGGTACAATAGAGTGCTATAGGGAAGTAGAGATACCTGTGTTTTGGGGTGTAGTAACCTTATGTATGGGATTCACTAGGTGTGACGACTATTGTTACATTGTACAGATTACTGCATCTATTTGTTGTTTGTGTATTTGTTGTGGTGTTGAATATAATGAAAATCTTGAATGGCAACTTGGCCAATTCCCCCTTTCATACTTCTAAGTTCTAAACTTCTAATCATCAATCCCATGAGCCTATGTATACAAAATGAGAGATTGTTAACTTACCACTATTTTATGGATCTCGTAAAAACTAGTTGATTTGTGGCAAAGACAATCTCATATAATGTTAGGCAAACTTTCTGGCTGTCTCTGCACCCCTACCTCCTTTGTCACTGTTCTTTTTCAGTTTGCGAACTAGTTATGCACATTAAAGATTGGAATGAGGATAATTTCAATAATGTTGCTACTTTTTTTATTAATGTAGATGTCAACTTTAAATTAGATTCGACATGCTCTAGTTTTTATATGTTTGTTGAATAAAGTAAACTTCAAACTGATGATCGTCCCCAAATCTAATGTCATTGATTCCATATTTGTTCCTTACATAGTTCCTTACCACCTAGATAATGTGCGCCTGGATTATGGGTAATTGGTCTTTCATACTACTTGGTTAAGATTGACCAAACTTATGTCACGATGCACATATCATTGATCAACTGAACTTCTTCATCAACTATTTATTTTTTTCGCATAGTCCCCTTTGTCTCTTAAAGTCCCTATAGATTCCATTTTTTTTTTACTATCCATTAAAAAAACTAAAAAACAACATAACACACAAGTAATTATTTTGAAAGTCGCTCAGTATATGAACTCAACATCCCTTGGAAATTGAACATTTGTTGGAAACTGAATTCCCTTCCCCTTCTTATTCCTCCAAATGTCAAATAGCATGACTTTTTGACTAAGTAGATTTAACATAGTTAATAAACTTACTTCGAGAAAATGAATTAAAAATATAGAATATTTCATGGGTTCCAACGAGAGCAACTAGTCTTTATTTTTTTTTTTTCTAAATTCAGTTATATGATTTACCGTATTCTGTAGCTATTAGCTAACCACTTTGGCCAGAATGGAGAAAGAAATCTACACAGAAGTACAGACCATGTTAGGATCTGACATCTGAGTGTGGATATCTAAAAATGATACGCTACATGAGCGTGGGCCACAAGGCCCATGTTCGGGCGCAGCTTTTAGACCGGTTAATGTGCTGATTCAGCCCATGACCACCAAAGCCCACATCATAGCCAGACGGCAGCGCTTCAGTCTTCTAATTTCGCCGAGAGACTCTAGTCTCTACAAGAATCAAAGGTCCGCTTCGGTTCTTCTCCTCCCGCTCTCTACCGTTGATCGTCCCGCCGGCGTAAAAGTATTCAAACGGAGGAATAGGCGATTCGAGTCGGGGAAGCGGTGATAAATTTCACACAGCCAATCGGAAATGAGGTTCAACCTCGACCTAGAAGACTCCGACACGCCGGATTCTTCTCGGCGAACTTCGACTCCCAAAGAGAATGTCCAGTGGATTCCGCTCCAGAAGCATCCCGTCTTCACTTCCGCCGGCGCCGCGTTCGAAGGCACCGCGACTGCTGATTTTCCGGCGCCGAGGAACCTGCTCGCGTGGGACGGTGCCTCCAGGTTGTACTATTGGGAATCAAGCAAGCAGTGCCTCCACCGAGTCTCAATCCGACTAGGCGAGCCGGAACCTACTAATGTGCTCGCTGCTTCTCCGTCCAAGGTACTTCACGCTAAACCTCCAGTTCTCACTCTTGAATCACAGACGTTAGACTTACTGTTTCGTTTCTGAGCAAGTGAACGACAAATATCAGAGCGAAATTGAGATGAATTCCCAATTCGAGTAGTTGTTCTTAGCTTTGTGCAAGAATTTGGAATCCCTAACTGAGTAACATTCTGGTTTTCACTTAGTCCTTCCTGATTATGCCATGACTGAGTTCTCAGTTGTTCAATGTTTCAGTTAGTATATGAGACTGTGTTTATTAGCCTTAAAGCAGCTAACGAGGGAAGCCATTGTTTGGTGCTAGGTATTGGTAGCAGATGTGAAGATCCCCTTTGTGGTTAACAAGATCTCCATTAATAGAAACGGGTCAGCTTTGCTTCTTGCTGGTACGGATGGCATATGCGTGATGTATCTATATGGACGCAGTTCTTCTAGGGACAACAGCATTACATGCAGGTACAGGTGGTTCTTTATGCGTGATTTTCCCCCGGAACGGATGTTGTTGTTGGGATTCTTTGAATAACTACAATTTTATGGTGATTAAGTTTCCTAGCTTACCTTCAGTTGTCAAATTTGTGTTGCTAAAAGTTTGATTTTATTTTGGACTCTTTATGCAGGACTGTCTCAATCGGTTCCCGAATATATTTTGATGAAAGCAACGTTATACGCACTCTGCAAGTTTCTTGGCACCCTTACAGCGAGACGCATTTAGGAGTTCTTTCATCTGATTCGGTGTTCAGGTATCATGTTGTTCTATTTTACAGTTTTTAGGAGTGAATAGTTCTTTGAATTGTATGGATTCATCGTGGAAGGAAAGTTAAACCAGAAATTACAACTCACAAAGTGTGTTCTCCAAAAGGGTAGATCTGCGGTTATATTTTTATTATTTTCCTGTCCGATGAAGAATAATTTTTGTACACATTAGATGCACACAGAAGCTCACCGGCATGTTAAGAGTACTGAGTGAATCTTATTATTGATATGTTTTCCTTATGCTTTTTACTGCATTCTACTATTATGTATATTTTTGTTGGTTGTTCTGATAGCCTGTGGTCTGGCATTGCTCTTGCTTCTAATTTCGACTACAAGCTGACAATAAAAGCTACCTGAATTTTTCTCTTCTTTACTTTCTAGGATCTTCAATCTGTCTGCGGATGTCCTGCAACCAGAGCAGGAATATTTTTTACAGCCTCTTCAACCTGGTAGATCAAGAAATGCTTCTTCCATGTGTCCTGTTGATTTTTCGTTTGGTGGAGATCACTTGTGGGACAGATTTGCTGTAAGTACACTTGCGATCAATAAATGTGATTTTATTTTGGTCTGGGCGTGATGCATTTATTTGTTACATGTGATGAGAGGTTACGCTACTTGACGTGCTACCGTTTCAGCTTGGTCATATGGGATATGGCTGCTGCTCATATACATTGTTGGAGTGGGCTCATCTTTTCCTTTTGATATAACTCAACATCTATATTATGAGGATACATGTGTTATATCTACTCACATTTTGTCGGTCGTAGCAATAACCAGGATTCTGAATACATGTGTTATATCTACTCACATTTTGTCGGTCGTTTAACTTGTCATTTTAAAGCTGTATTATGAGGATACATATATTTTAGAGACCTGATTGTTTTTGACATATAGCATAGTACATACATCAAAGTGACGCTAAGATATGAATAATTGATTTTGTGTTTTCTCTTCAACTTTTACCTTTACTATGCCTCGGAAATGGTCATTGATGTCAAATGTCAAGATAGTAAACTCAATATTACAGCTACCAAGTGGTGTAATTTTACAACCAACTTATTTGTACAAGTGTCTTGTTTCAAAGTTACGTGTTCCTGAAATATGAGCATTCTAATAATTGGGTAGAAATGACCTCTTGTGTTTTTGGCTTCTTTGTGTCCATTTTGCAGGTGTTTGTATTATTCAGTGATGGCTCTATTTACATTCTCTGCCCTATTGTTCCTTTTGGGAGGTATAACTCAATCTTTATCAATTACTTCGGGTTAAGATTCAGCTACTTTTCAGAGTGAAATAGTTGCCAATTTTTACCATGATTATAAGCTACTTGTCCTTCATGGAAAAAGAAAGCTACATCACAGCCTTGATTTGCTTGCATCTTACTGTCTACAATCTGCCTATTATTATATGCTGCTCTAAATACTAACCATATGATTCATGTCTTTCCTTTCTTTGGGTTCAACTACATGTTTCGGTAGTTTCTCATTCTCGGAAACGTTCCCTTATGCTTGCTAAAGAAAATGCCTTTGCATGTAGTGTCTACAAGTGGGACTCAGTTTTGGAGATATATAACGATGCCAACACACTGGGGCTGGAATCAGCAAATCCAATTGCAGTTAGCAACTCTAGTCGGGCAGTCTCTTGGTTAGAAGCTACGTTTCCAGAGTTGAGTTCAGAAGCAGGGGACAGAGAAAACATTTCTGCAGTGAAAGCTGAAGCCCATGCTTTATTTGATGCATCACTCTGCTTGCAGGTACGTTCATCTGGCTGCTGTGAACCCAATGTATAAATTCTATTTGTCCAGCCGTTTTAGTGAACTTCTAACTTGCGTGCAGCCATAAAATATGCTTATAGTAAATGCTCACTATTTATTCTGTTGATAATCATATATGGGAACACAAGAAATACTTAGGTCTCTGCTTTGTCTAGATGGCAATTGTGTAAATACTGCAAATGCTGCATAAATGGTTTGACCATGGAATCATATCCATCACTTTCTTCATTTGTCTTCTCCAGTTTGTATGGGAAGGCGGGAAATATGCAATGTGAATATACTATTAACAGAGGGTGATGCTTCTTTAATTTAGAAAGTCTTATATTTTATCTCTATGGTCGCAACTAGTTTCTGTGGTTTTGGAATCATCTGATTATATTATCAGTGAACAAGCTTTCAGTGGGAAATATAACTGAAATCTTCATCTGACAAGGCAACTTTATTTTAGACAGTTTCATGATATTTCATTATTTCCCCCCGCTAATGAACCATATGATGCTGGATTCAACATTGTAATAGATTCCATCGTGACAGTTTTTCTGTATTTTTTCAGGGGCCACTGCAGAGAATTCAGCGGCATAGGGCAAATGAGGACTTTGCAGTTTCTACTGGGGTGAGCGAAGGGCGTGCCATCGGTTTTCTCTACAATCTTGTCAGCAAAGACTCAATTCTGGTTACTGCCTGGACTGGCGGCCAGTTACAGATAGATGCTTTGGCTGATGAGATCCAGCCACTGTGGACAATCGGTAGTGCACCTCGCCTCCGTGTTAATCCCCAAGACCACCAAGTTCTTGGTCTTGCTATGATCTGTGGATCAATCCCTCATCACCTCCCTGTTGTGAAGCTAGATCAACCACTTGACCAGACGGTTTGGTTGGGTCACCCGCCACCTCTGTTGAGACTTGCGATTGTAGATTTGTCCTTGCCCCAGAAAAGAGAGAGTGGTTATCATATTCTCATGTTTGCCGATCCACTCATGCCCGAAAGAATCTACTGCCTTCATGAAGGAGGGGTAGACTCGATCGTGTTGCATTTTCTCCCATTCACCAATCAGTCGAGTGGGAAGGATGAAACTGTCAGGGCTCCGTCTGTTCATCCTGTGCTGAGTACCTGCCAGGTGGACAATACTACATCAGTGTCTCCTCTCTGTGGTTTTGTGGCCTTGTCTGATTCGTTTGGGTATTCATGGGTTGTGGGGACAACGTCCACTCAAGAATGCATTGTGCTAGAAATGAAAACATGGGATCTGTTACTTCCTCTACAAGTTGCTACTGACCACTACACTAATGGTGAAGAACGAAAGGAGACGAATAATGCTCCAGACATCATTAGCAAAGACCTACTTGCAGGTCCCAAGGTGGTTCCTGTTCCTCAGGTGTCACCAAATCTTCGATCAGTTGCTGCTGACTCTATAGAAGGCCGATCAATGCTTCATCAGTACTTCAAGCTTTTTCATGAAAATTATGTCGAGTATGCCCATAAGGTGACAACATCGGTTCTTTTTATGTCCCTCTTAAAATTTCTATTACAAATGAGCAAAAAATTTCGATCCATACTTATCAAATGAGACCGGAATTGATCAGTATGAATCGAAACATTTTGCTCATTTTAAAGTAAAGAGAGAAGTAGATTTAATCGAGAGATAGAGTCCATGTCGAATCGAACAGAATTGAATGTGCTTTTGACCAAAATCCTATCATTTTCCCTTTTTTAACCGCTGCTATGTTGATTCGGTCGGATTCTGTTATGGACCAGACCATTTACACCCCTTATCCTAGAGCATCTGGAAAAAAATTCTTCTTCTGAAATGAACATTATTATGATTATCTTCGATCATGGTAGTTAATAGCTCAACACATTTAATCTTCCTCTTTTCCCTCAGGTTTACTTTGAGCTGGAGCATCATGGGCCACAGATGAAGAGAATCATTGATGACCAGCAGGCTCGTCTCAGCGAGGCTCAGGAGAAACTTGTGAGAGTAAGGAACAAACAGACTGGCCTGGATGATAGGCTTAAGCATGCAATTCATCAGCACCATATTCTGGAACAGCGTTTGAATCAGTTGAGGAATCTTCCCGGAGTTCACAAGAAACCTTTGTCTAGAGCTGAGCGGAAGTTCAGCTCGGAACTTGGTAATCATTCTACATCTGTTCTTACGGTTCGTTGTGGAAATTCTGATAAATGTGGAACAATTTCAACTGCCTGCACCTCATCGTGTATGTTTTGTCATAATTGACTATGATTGCAGACCAACTTACGGGGGTTGAACTGGATGCATTGCATTCATCCATTGAGACACTAAGAGCTCGGCAGAGAAGGTATACAACACAGTCTTCAAAAGACATCATCTCTAACCAACGGAGGAAAATACCAGGGAGGAGCCATGTCCTGGATGCCCAAATGTCCCAACTAAAATCTTCACTTGCTAAGCTTTCGCTCATTAATTCTGAAAATGCGAAGAAAGTAAAGGCTGTAGAATCTAGCTTGAAAGCTCAGGGAAGCGGTAAATAACTGAACCCTGCAGTAGCTGTTGCCTGTTAGGCTGAACTGAATAGACGTATCTTTGTTTCTGTAATTGCAGCTATTTTGAAATTGGAGCTGTGGTGCATATGTTGTATTTTACCCTTTGATACATTTGTTCTGATATTATGGCCACATATCAGTTGGCGCAATGCAGAAATTGTGTTACTCTGTTTCTCTGTGCTCTTTTCTAACAGACTCAATCAAGCAGTTCCTTTCAAGGGGCAGGCACAAAAATGCCAATCCAGGTCAGGATACCTATCAGCTCTGTGACATTCACTTTTTTTTAAGTACATGATTAATCTCTAAGTAGGTTTCCTTCTGAATCTCATGTTTTGTATAGGAAGATAAAGTCTTTGATCTATGATCACTCAATCATAATGTTTATTCACAATGGCAGTTCTGGAGATTTCTTAACTGCCTATCCTAGTCGTCCCCTTTTGCATAGAATCATTACCATCTCCTTATAAAACCTTTATAAGTGGAGCCATCGAATTGCTAGCGGCTTGTAGGGTAGTTGGATCATGATCCCCATCTCCCCTCAACTCAACTGCTGATTTTATATTTCATTGCAATTCGTTCCTTTAAGATGCTGGTGGTGATGATGATTGATTGATTGATATACAGATGCTGCTAACTCTATTTTTCTATTTGGGAATTTTTTTTTATTGCAAAAGGAATTACAACCTGATCTCACATTCTACTACCTCTGCTTCACTCTCAGATCTCAGTATCTCTACGCTGCTTGGTCCTGGTCTCGTCGCCGGACGTTGATAGGGTACTGCTTCTGCGTTCGGGTTGTCGGAAAGAACACCAGCTTATCTTCCTCAGCCGGCTCCCAACTGCACAACCAACATAGAAAAAAATCCCAGGCAAAGGTAAAACACCTTAAACCCACATGATAAATTAACAAACTACAATGCAGATGTGTATTGAGATTCAATTTACCTGAAACGAGTGACTAAATGATGAAGGAACACAGAGAGTTCCACTCTGGCAAGCTCATAACCTGGGCAGAGTCGACCCCCTCCGCCGAACGGAGTGTACACATTCCCAGGACTTGCTGCTCCTGAGTTGTTCTGTCAAAATATTATGTTATTCAGGGTGAATTTTTCTTCTTTCATTTTCCTTTTGTGAGAGAGTTAAAACTTAAAACACTAATAATGTAGTTTACCTGCCATCTCCAGGGGTTAAAAGTTCGAGCATCTTTGAAGTGATCCTGGTCCATATGCACAGCTCGAAATGAGGCAAACACCTTCCACCCTTTGGGAATTACGTACCCTGCATATTGGTTTCCAGGTAAGTCAGTAACTTGTAAATTTTCACTGTTTTCGCCCCAAAAAATTACCACCGCAGAACTTCAGAGATTTCGATCTATCTAACCTTTGACAGGTATGTCAGTGATGGCTCGCCTAAACACCCCGCCGATTATGTTGGCCACTCTCAAGGTCTCGTTAACAACCTGAATCACGACGTTAAGAATAATTAATTAACCTTTAATCCACAGGCAAAGTATGATTAGATTTAAATTTATACTTACGCATTGAGTGAAGGGCATGGACTTATAATCGCTCCACTCCAGAGCCTCTCCTTCCTTCTTCTTTGCCCTGATCTGATCGTGCTCCTCCTGCCATATCCAAAACCAAACCACCGATTCAATTAGTGAATGGACCCAGTGAGCCCAATGTTTTGGTTGGGCCCATAACTTTTGGCAGGCCTATATGTAGGGCTGCACCGAATTTATAACACATGCCCCCCTTATTTAATACACACCCTCAACTTTTCCCAACATCTAATAAAGATAACAAAAAACGAAAACAGTTGAAGTAATCCAACGGCTAGGATTCAACCACCAAGCTATCAATCAATATAAAGGTATATAACCAAAAAGGCAAAAGCTCATCTCACTAATCCAGCGCGTTTTAGTTGGCAATCAGCTGTTTTCTGCTAAGCTTGAGTCCGACGTTAAAATCATCATCATAATTATCAAACTAATTGTAATTAGAAAAGAAAAGGAGAAGTGGGAAGTGATTAAGGAATTTGGCGGGGGATCATTGTGGGTGAGATGACGTCAACCAGACAACACACCTGACGCTAACTATCACCGTTGGATGTTTCACTTTGTCCACTCTTGTTGTTGTTCTTCTTCCTCCCTAGATCTTGAAATCAGCACCACACGATTCCCAAGGATCCTTCCCCACTCACCCACGCTGACTAAAATGAAATGGAAAAACAAAGGCGAAGAGAAGATAGACAGCACAGTCTAGAGTCTAGATTGTTGGACTCCTTTTTTTTGTACAGGGCTAGGCTTCTCGTAAATTGACCAGGCAGTCCCTACTAGCCTAGGTAGGGTGGCGAGGGCAAGGAGGTAATTGTTGAGTGAAAGAAGATCCGAGGCTTTGGTCAAAAAAGGGTTAAAGGGTCCGAATTCCGAAAGGCACAGCCGCAGCAGAAGTTGGCGCAGGCGTGCAGTCACTCTGGCAAAGAGGGGAAAGGAAATAGCATATACACATCATTTTGTCACGTTGGACCGACGAATGTTCCTTTTTCCTTTTGGCTACTCTGATGACCCTTTTCGTCTTCTTCTTTTTCCTACTTGTTCATGGGATAAACAAGTCTCCCTTCGACTAATATGTTCTTTCTACAGATGCTAATCCGGCTTGCAGTTCGATTTGATATTTGTGGAAGAATGGATCAGATCAAGCCTACCCATTCATTAACATGATGATCAAATTCGTCCCTTTATAATGACTGTACTTTCACGTTCTATGAAATTTTCGATCTGTTTGAGAGCTGTAAAGGGAGGAACAAAACAGGAAAGGGAAAAAGTCTGCCACCAAGTTGTACTTTTAAGGGAAGGACAGAAATGGGAGAAGTCTTCCATCCATAAAATAATAACTTAACCCATTATGTGTCACAAAGACAATGGTGTGGTAATGGCAACGGTGATGGTCGGTCCAATAGGAAAAATGGATATAGGAAGTTCACTGTTCAAACCTAGATCCTACTCTCCAAGTTTGTGAAAGATTTTTTAAAACAAAGTGGGTAATGGATTGAGATGAGAATGAGATTCACTAATCATGAACACATGTGGGTAATTAAACCCTAAAACCCATTTCACTAAGATACCTTAAAATTATAATTAATTTGTAGAATAATTATGTTGGTTAATAATTATGTGGGTTCACTCACTAGTCACCAGTCACCACCGGCCCATTTTCAGTTAGCAATCCCATCTTTCCTTCTTCCTCTTCCCCACCCGCCTTTCTTTTTCCATGTTGTTGGGCGAGCAAACTCGTGTGGCGATGGCAAAGACAGCTTTTTTCTCTCCTTCTTTTAATCATTTCAGATAATTGAAAGGAAAACACGGAGAGAAACTGAGAAAAAAGGTTGGATGAAAATGGGAAACAACCAATTTGGTTGATGTTGTTTGGTTCTCTCTTTATCCCACCACCCATTGTGAATGGTCCATATTTTCACATTCTTATCACCACCACCCCACACTATATCATTCATTATTATCAATCCTCATGATCGTGTCACAATTTTAGGCCCACTCTCCTAACCAAGTAATCCTAACTACATATATGTTACGATCGTAGTTATGTGCAATTCAGATCTCAAGTGCACGCGGATTCATACCGAATTATGTATGTTGTAATTTGCTTTGTTAGAATTTTGATACCCAATTACTGAATTAGGATTTGGAGACATTTCTTAAATGAGTTTAGCTTCTCAACCAAGTTTATGGATCATTTTAGTGATCATTATATTTCACCTTTTGCGTGTTTTAGTTTTAGTGAGACAACTTAATGTTGGTTGATCTCTACATATAATTAAGCAAACTCATAATGTCGAAGGAAAATTTATTTTGTATCAAGAAAATTTATAAAAATTGAATGACCTGATTGTGAAATATTTTGAAAGTGCTACGGAAAAAAGAGATTAAATGTATAAGATGAGAATTCAGAAATGGAGAATTGGAAATAATAATTAATAATAATAATAATATGATAAACACATACCCTGAGTTGGGCCAAAGCCAGGGGAGTGTCCGTTAGGAACTTGACGGCAAGGGTCATGCTAGTCGACGTCGTTTCATATCCCGCCACCAACAGAGCCACCAGGAAATCCACTATCTGCTCATCGGAGAACCCCTCGTCGCCGGCCAAAAGCGCCGCCAACATGTCATTCTTCTTCTTCTTCTTCTTCTTGTCCTTCTCCTCTTCCCTTCCCGCCGACGACACCTCCACCTCTTTCCTCCTCTCCCTCACCACCAAACTCAACGCCTCCGCCACCTTCGTCCTCGCCTGCAAAACCATAACAATAATTAACACCATAATTAACAACCCATAATTACTTAACCTCTCTCTTAAGTCTTAACAACACATTAAATTAAAAAACAAAAAAAGACGTACTTGAATGGCTCGGCGATAAGTGGTGGAGAAGAGAGGGAGAGGGACAGTGAAAAAGCCTTCAATCACAAGCACGTACTCTTTCCTCACCCTCTCCGTCCACTCGCTCGGATCCAAACTCATCAGCTGTTTCATCGCTAACTCGAACGTTATCTGCCACCAATTAATAACAACAATAATTCAATTACAAAAAAAAAAAAAAAACAAATTTATGTCACACCAAACCAAACTAATTAATCATCACAAATGATTGATTAGCACATAATAATTCCCACACATAAGACAACAAAACTGCAGATTTCCAATTCCAACCGCACCCCCCCCCCCTTAATTATTCTTCCTAGCTTAGATTAATTAGATGTGACAATCCACAATTTGTACCTTCCTCTAACCATACACCCAAAGATTTCATTTTTTTATATATTAAATCTTAATCTACCCTAATAACGTCTTAATTGTCACCATCTATAACAGAACAAACATCACTATCAGTCTATCACCACAACTCGATCGACCCGGATCGAACCGAGTCGATCGGTACAACATTTTTTACCTTCTTGGCCTCTTCCATGAGGAGGACCCGGTCGGACCAGGACCGGAGGTTGCGACGGACCAACCGGTCGATGTCGAAGAGGAGGTGGTCCTTCAAGATGGAAGGGTTGGAGAAGCTCATGGTTAAGGAATGCATCCGCTTGTGGAGGCTGCCCTTCATGAGAAGCAGCGAGTGCTTGCCGAGCAAATTGGAGATCGAACCGGGGTAGCTGACGTCGACCAGCTTCCCTTCCCCGTGGAGAATCAACCGGTTCACATCCGGGTCGGTCGAGAAGACCGTGGGCTCGCCGAAGACGTGGGTCGTGAAGACTGGGCCGTATCGGCCCACTCGCTCGTCGATGAAGGGCTCCGGGTTCTCGGTCTTGTAGGCGGATATGAGCTGGAGGGTCTCGCCGACGAAGGGGATCCCCTGGCTCCCCGGCGGGAGGCCGTGGCGGCGGGCGCGGCGGCGGTGGATGAGGATGAAGGAGAGGAAGGAGAGGCAGAGGAGGGAGATGAAGAGGGTTTCATCGCTATAATGGTAATGGGTAGTAGTAGTCATGATTAGTGGGTTTTTTCTTCTTCTTCTTCTTGTTGTTTTTTTTTGGTTTTGGGAGAGAGATTGGAGGAAATGGGGAGGAAAAGGTTTCTACTTGGGAGGAGAGTGAGTGAGGAGGATTATACATTATAAGAAGGGGAGGGATTTTTGGGTTTTTTATACATGGAATTTTTTTGGGGGGGATTTGTTTTTCCTTATATTAATCGGAAAAAGTGGGGAAAAGGGATAAATGTTGAGGAATTGATAAGGAAAATGTTATTTTTGGGGTGGTGGGGAGAATTGAAAGGAGGGGGGAAGAGGAGCACACGAGGGGCGGATCTCTGTGAAGACTGTGAAAGAAAGAATCTATTGAGAAGGGGAGTGTTTGTAGCAGGGGAAGGAAATTATGGAGAAAACAGAGGAAAGTCATTAATGTTTGGATATTCAATATCTATATGTCTTACTTATTTCTTACTAGAGAGCTATTATTATGTCATCTGACAGCTTCTGTGTTTTGTTGGGTTTTCTTTCACATTTCAATTGGGCTATGACAACTATAAGAGAAAAGTAAAAATAAATTCAATGGTTTAATGAAGGGTTTAGTTACTTTTTTTTCCCAGGGTAAATGTCACACTTGGTCATTGAGATTACTAAATCTTGCTATGTTTAGTCATTAAAAAAAAATCATATAAATTTTGGTTACTCGAATTGCTGAAACATGTCACAATTAGTCACTCTCCCGTTAGTTTTCACCCAACTCCATTAACCCATTTTTTTAGTGACTAAACATAACACGATTTAGCAATCTCAGTGACCAAATGTGACATTTACCCCTTTTTATATAAAATTCCTCGGTATATTGATTGAGCGGTACGCATAGTTTGTGGTCGTTCTGTAACAGAGGAATTAAGAAGATGGAAGGCGGTAGTCCATACTTCTGCAGACTCCCAATTAGAAAGGGTATGGGCTAACAAATGGGCCGGTTTATAGCAGTCCCGGCCCCGCAAATAGAAAACGAACTTCTCTGACTCGCTTGGCTTCATCTATGATCTCAGCACACAACTCTTCGATTTTTAGATCCGAGCGCGTTTCTCGTGTAAGTTTTCGAGGAAGCAAAAGGCAATCCATCTCAAGTTTATGGATTGATTTGCTTTCAAGAAGTCGAGTTTTGACTCCGTGAACCGTTAAGCTGATCTTTTAACCCTCGATCAAGGTTGTCAACCTGATTTAAGTGATTGAGTCGGTCAGACAAGAGATTTGAGGTTTAATGATTTGATCGTTGTCCGATCGGTTTGAGCCGTTTAAGACGTTTTCTAAATATATATACAAAAAAATATAGTAATTAAAGATTTAATGGCTGGAATAAAATTTATCTTACACATATATATTTAAAATTTATTTTCCACAAAATAAAGCTACCTAACTTTCATCACCCACCCACCATTCCCTTCCTTCATTCCTCTTACTCTCTTCTTTTCTCTCTTTAGGGGTCAGACCGATGACCTTTTTGGAGGCCGTTTTAAAGCCCGACTCGGGTCGGATCGGGTCCAATCAAGGGTTTGATAGGGGTTTAACAACCTTGCCCTCGATGAAATTGGAACGCTAAGTGAAACACTTGTAGGGCTTGATATAATTGTTGACTGCATATGACATTGGTGATAGTCTCCTCACAAAATCGCTAGACTCAAATGATAACTTCATTAAAAATTTACTGCTTTCGAGATCAACTCGAGCACTAAAAATGTCGTTAAACTATGACGCGAGGCTTTGCACGATTTTTACTAGAAATAATATAATTTTTTGTATATGGTAGACAGAAATACGAGAAACTTGGGGGTTGTTTGTTTCAACGAATTTTTTAGTGAGATTGTTATAATTCTCGCATTCTGTATGAAACATACTTTGTCAAACATTTACACACAACATATTCATTAATTACTTGACGTGACGCAAACAATCGTTCAAATGAATAATTGTACAATCACAACTAAAAGCGGAAATTTTTTGGAATTGTTTCGTGTTTTCTTTTTCTTGTTCCAATTTATATGTAAAAAAAATTAGATAACATATAAATATTTTTTTCATTTAAAAAGATACAATTGACATTTCTGTTTCTGTTCAAAAGTGAATTTTGATTATAATTAATAAAAATAATATTGTATATATTAAATGATGTTATCCATGACACACCAAACTCATCAATACATAAAATCATTTTAAATTATTAATAAAAAACAATATAATACATAAAATAATTTTAATTAATCTTCAATACATAGGGGAAAAACAAAATCCCCCTTATATTAATTTACAGTGCAAAATGGGATTTTTTTTTTTTTTTTGACAATTCAAAAATGGGATTATCGTTACCAAACTTCCCAGTCATTTTTAATAATGAAATAAAAGGCTAAAGGGGAAAGAAGGGAAAGTGTACCGACCTTTTTAGTTTCTCCACTTTAAAACGCTTGTCTATTTGCAACGAAACATCTGTACTGCTAGTTGTTGCCTTGTTGGTCCATACTCCATCCATACTGTGAAAACTTATTACTTATGGAGTCTTTATATTCTTCTTTCTTTTTTAATATAATTGTTGGATCCGGAGTCTGAATTCATATAAAACCATTGAATTCGCACTAAAATGAGTTTGATTTTTTACTTTATTAAGATGAAACTAAATTGTATGAATTTACATGTATGTTAACTCTATCGGTATATGACCAAAATATGCATGAACTTGTTACATGTCTATGTTATGTTTTTATACTAAAAAAAATTAACAATCTCAAAGTTGATTTCACAGTTCATTCTACATTATCGGGAAAAAAAAATGATTTTATACTATTCATTAAAAATTGATTTCGTGATATCGTTATATACATGATATGTCTATTTTTATGAGTACATCTTAAAATCGTCTCCAATGAAAGATTTACCCTCTCAATCCACTCGATTTTACATTTCTCCATAAAAAAAGGGGACGCTAACAAAATAACAGTGAGGATCTCAAACCATCCATTAAGCCATTTTTTTTTTAATATATATGTATACATCAAAAAGCGATTGTTAAAGGATATACAGATCAAAAGACGATAGCTACATAATTTTAATTTTATGGGAGCACCCACAAATAATGAAGCTCCCAAAAAAAGGTGTATAATTGATAAAAATACAATGGTGTGTGCATAAAGAATCAAAGAGGACCAACCCTCCACGTGGCTAAAGGTATTGAGTAGTGTGATGCAATTATGTATGTAAGGGTGGTCTCGATTAATTGTTTAGGAATGCATCAAACTACACATTCATATTATTATTATTTGTCACAAGAGAAAAAAAAAAAAAAAAAAGCATGAGGTGATGCTTCCTTCCATACTCATCCACATGGAAAGGGATACATATTAAGCCCTCCCACCCACTAGATGGATACGTATCACGTCCATATACTTCTTAAATTGCAATGCCAAGATGATAATACCATACTTTGTTATATGAACTGTGGGACCGACAACCAGGGGCGGAGCTATGTAGGTCTTTGGGGGGACCCCGACCTCTTGAGAAGTTTGAAACTTACGTGTAAATCGCTACAAAATCTTGAGAATTATTACGTGTGAAATAGTAGTTTACTACTGATACTAGTGTATGAAAAATGCTTTGAAGTAGCTACCGTCAGTCTAGCGCGGATGGGTTGTTAAACTTGTATCTGAAATGTGCAGGTTCAAATCTAGTTGGCAGCAATTTTTCACTTTTTTATAAGTCATATACTTTCAAATTAAGTTAATTAAGTTCTTACACTCTTAAATTGTTATTTTAAGAATATTTTTGGTTATATAGTCAATTAGTTAATCCTTTTTGAAACACTAATACAAACTGTAAGCCATTTTTCAATTAAAAATATATTGAATAACACGATATACATTGACTTGCATAGTTAATTTTTTGTTTGTATAATTTGCCCATTTGTTATGAACATAAGAACGTTAGAATAAATTCGATTATGGATTATTTTCTTTTTCTCAGATAAAATCTTACCTTGTTATGAGAATATCATTATTGTTTTCTATATATTGTATTGCTCGTTATTTTCTTATATTTTCATGATAACTTATTAATCCATTCGACTTCCCGAACTTAAAATCCTGACTCCGGACCTGCCAACAACTAATCGATAATGATATCTTGTATTCAAATTCTCATAGCGAGAAGATTAATAGTTGATTTGGTCTTTTGAAGACATGCAAATGTGAATCTTATAAGCTGACTTCATTTAGAACAATGTAGAAGAAAACAATATAAAATGCAAATTTGGATTCTCCCAACAACTGATCTACTTGTGGATTGTGATCACCAATGCTTTAGTGCACTCGTTTTTGCTGGATTTTCTAATATAAAATTAATTAATAAGATGATTCCCTTCAGAGTTTGAACTAGATATTGTAATAAATATTTAATCTATAGAACGGCTTCTATTGTCTGGCCGACACTAAGCCCAATTGGTGAAAGTAGCGTGGACAGACAACATTCTTTTCACAACACACATAATCCTAAGTGTGTGTGTGTGATCATTTATCAAATCTTTTGTGGGTGAGGTCATAATTATTTATTAAGCCAAGTCCTATTCTCATTACCCACATGATTAGGGAGCGGTTACGGTGAGTACTTTTTTATAGTAATCACCGTGGTTACTAAGAGTAAATTGGGTATGGAAAAATAAATTATATTAATTAATTTTTTAATAAATTACATTTAAGGCAGTTACAAAAATCTATTAATTAAAAATCTCTCTTTCTCTCACTTCCGTAATCTCCAGCCAGATTTCCTTTCCATATTTTTCTCAATCTTTCTGCCAAAAAAAAAAAAAACCGAAATCAGTACCAATCCATTAGACAAACACTACCACTTTGAAAAATATCAATACCATTGCAGAAATAAATCTATACCATTACACGAAAACTACCATTGCAGAAATAAATTTATACCATTACACGAAAACTACCATTCAAGAAATAAAAACACTACCATTTCACAAAACATCAATACCATTCAAGAAATAAAAATACTACCATTTCGCAAAACATCAATACCATTGCAGATTTAATCACTACCAATGCGACAAAATCGATACCAATGTAACAAAATCAATACCAATGCGACAAAAACTATACCAATACGACAATAACACTACCACTACGAAAAAAATGACTACCATTTAAAAAAAATGACTACTGAAAAAAATGACTACCATTTAAAAAAAACATACCATTCCAATGGAATTCCTCCTTCCAATTGCAGAGACGATGGTGAGCACGACGAGGAAAC